AGAAATATAAATAGCAACCATCGCATAGATAAAATATGGTCTTGATTTTAGCGGTAATTTACCTGGAAAAGTTAGGGAATTTTTTTCTGAAAGTGCCCTGTTAAAAAAACGTTATGCTCCTGCCTTTGACCAATATCTAAAAATATTTTTTAAGTATATTTTAGCAAACCTTTTATAAATAAAGTAATAACTAGAAAAGTAACCATCCAAATAGAATGGAATGTAGAAGAATTATCAAAGTTTTGTTCCCAAGAATTGGGATGGAAATGGTTAAGTACGATTTAAAGCTCTAATGAAGTCACTTTAATTACTATTTGAATACCTAAATAACATGAAAAATTATGTAAAATATTGTTAAAAAATTTGTTTCATTGCAAAAAGTTAAAAATTCTTAAAATTTTGTACTGTAATCCGTCACAAAGCTTTCGATCGCTAAAGAGTACTATCTTGCAATTGTATTCAGCATATTGTTAAATACAGATGGATTACTAAGCTTTTACTTTTTTGTATCAACTATCACCGTTTAGTTTTAAAATTAAAAAAAAACTTATTAATTACAGAACAAACCATTGATGAAATTTAAAAGAAATGAATGCTGATAAATTATTTCTATTACACATGCTAAGAATATTTTTCTTTTCATCTTACTTATGATAGGCATTAAAAGATTGAGTGAATAGTCGGAAAAGGATCAATTTAGTTTAAATGTGATTTAAATGACATTCAAGTAAAAAGAATAAATAATGATGGTATGATTAAAATATATTCTCTTAAATGATGCTATGAATGAAAAATTTTTGAAATTCATACAAATTCAAGTTAAAATAACCCAATCAAGTGATACATGTAATCAATCAAAAGCGATTGAAAATCACTCAAGTTTTAGTGAAAACGATCCACTCACGTGGTACTGAAAATCACTCAAACACGATTGAAAATCATTCTAGTTTGAGTGAAAACGATCCCCTCAAGTAATACTGAAAATCACTCAAGCACGATTGAAAATCACTCTTTCACTTGAGTGATTTTCTCTCAAGATGAGAAGGCTCCTTTTTTCTAGATGAAAAAGTGAATTAGCACTCAAGCTGAGTGATTTTCACTCTTTCATTTTAAGTGAGTAACATTTGTAAGAGATGTGGTAAAATTACGAGAATTCATTCATTTAAATATGATCTTTTTAATAAAAATGACAACAGATGTCGTTCATAGAAATTTTTAAAAAGACAGTTTCAATGAGGCTTTGCAAGTTTCGTAAGTGATATAAAACCTGAAAAAATATTATTTGGTGTGGATTTGTCTAACTTTTTAATCTTTAGTTAATTTAAATAATGTGTGATTTAGCACAAAGAGAACGCATTTGAAACTTAATTGCTCTAGAACAGATATCTTTACAAAAACAAGGACGCTAACACTATCACATTCAAGGGTTTCCAAAATCTAAAATTGATTCGCGTTTTTTGCGGTCAAAAGTGTAACTTAAATGTGCATTTGGGTAATTGATCGTATTATTCCTGATAAACCTACAAGACTTTCCATCAATCTGTCATGAAAATATACTGTTGCACCAATATGGAACATTAAGACTTTCCCTCGTATTTTCTTAGAAATCAAATGATGGAACGATTATGAACAACCATCTTCCCAACGTAGGAATTCAGACTGATTTATGATGGTCCAGCATAAAACAGAATTGTTTTGATAGTATATTTCTGAGAACCAACAAGAATCTATCTATCTCTATTATATAAAACGCTAATACGTACGTATGTATCAATAAAACCGATGATATTTCTTTTCTCGCGCTGGCAACAGTTTTCAGTTTTAATTGATTGGATTCGGCGTGCAAGAGCACGTAGTGAGCATCATATGGCTGATCCATGTTATATAAAACGCTAATACGTTTTAATTGATAGGCTTCGGCGCGCAAGAGCATGTAGTGAGTATCATATGTCTAATCGGGTGAATTCTCACCGAATTATCAAGAAAATTCTCACAAAAATATCTTCATCGAAGCCGATGCTTTACATCCGGCGTTCAGTACTAGTCTATATTATATAAAACGCTAATACGTACGTATCAATAAAACCGATGATATTTCTTTTCTCGCGTTGGCAACAGTTTTCATTTTTAATTGATAGGCTTCGGCGCGCAAGAGCACGTAGTGAGCAT